AAATTATAAAGAAAAAACATACACTGTGGAAGGGAGGGATTTATTTCCTACACAAGTCATAAAGTGTGAATTTCTATAAAGAATAATTAGCAATGCTAAACTTTAAAAAAACCCATTTGACACAGCATTTCTACATGTAGCACTCTAGTCTTACAGAAATACACTGATAGGATAACATTGTTCATAATAGTGAATGATTGTAAAGCACATAGTGCCTATCAGGAGAGGGCTGGTTAAATAAATTAATTCATGCAACAAAATTTCCTGCTGCCATCAAACAGAATGAGGAATTTCTATATTGATAATATAGGAGTATACATATATCTGTATCTGTATAGATTACCTCTAGAACAACTCATAAACAGCTTCACTGTGGATATTTCTGAGAAGGATATCTGCATAGTTAGGACATGGGGTAGAAGGGAGACTTACTTTTCATGGTGTACATTTTTTTTGGTAATCTGTATTATAGTAATAATACAAATAATTTGAATACCATGTGTCTATTTTACTTGAAAATAAATAAGCTCAATGTAAGAAAAGACTTAATAGCCTTCTGTAAAAGTGCATCTGATATTTCCATTTAATAAAAGTATAACATTTAAATTGCTTCTTAAATATCAAAGTAATCATTTAGGTTTCCACCTTCTGATATAAAACTATTAATTATGAAACTTACAAATTGTAGTCTCAATTTCAGTAGCTGTTGGAAATAATCATTCTAGATTAACAAAATAACTTTTGTGTGTTTTCTCTCACTATTGAGATACGCTCGCTAAGAAAATAGTGTTAACTTTTTCTAAGTGTTGTTACTGAACATTATAGACAATCTTTTAATAGTCATTTTATGGTGGTTTATAGAACAACCAAATAAGTTTCTTTATTTTTCAAATGATTTAGTTATTAAAGACAGTCAAAATTAAAGATCTATTTTAAGAAATAAGGATAGTGACAAATTTAATAACAGGAAAAATTTACACTTGAATATTTTTACATTAAAATGGACTTTATTTTAGAAAGATATCAGGCCATCCAGTAGCACAGTCCTCCCTTAGTCACGGTTTTGCTTTCTGCAGTTTCAGCTATCCATAGTCAACTGTGGTCCAAAAATATTAAGTAAAAATTCCACAAATAAACATTTTATAAATTTTAACTTGCACACAGTTCTGAGTAGTACGATGAAATCTTTCTCCATCCTGCTCCTTTCCACCCAGGGTGTGAATCTTACCTTTGTCCAGAGTATCCATGCTGCGTACACTATGCGCCTGTTAGTCACTTAGGAGCTCTTAATGATCAGATTGACTGTCTTGATATCGCAGGGCTTGTGTACAAGTAAGCCTTATTTTACTTAACAATTGCCCCAAAGCTATTCATGTAACTTTTATTACAGTATATTGTTATACTTTTTCTATTTTATTATTAATTTTTTAATCTCTTATTGTGTCTAATTTATAAATTAAACTTTATCATAGGTATGTATGTTTATGAAAAAACATAGTATGTATATGTTTTTTCAGCACTATCATAGTTTTAGGCATTCACTTGGGGCCTTGAGACATATCCCCCATAGGTAAGGGGGAGCTACTATATACAAATAAGCATATTTTTTAATGGGAAATTGAAACAAATATGGATGAAACCTAATAAAAAGCTTTGTTAGATCTTATTTGCTATACATTTATATTGTCAGAATATAATCTGATCTTAAATTGTGTGAGTTAGCTTAGCAATTATATAATTCCAGCTGATATGAACATTTATTTTTAATATAGCCAAGTGACACACCCAGAAAGACAAGATATATCACATGAAAGGGTACAACTATTTCTTTTATTATTATGAATTAGTTACACTTGGAGAAATTATATATATTTTCATGTCAGGTTTGTTAAACCAATCAGTAGTATGAAAAGAAATAGCCAAATATATTTTTTTAAATATATATCTGGATTAGAAGGCATTCCATTTGTCAGTAGAACAAATACATTTTAAATAAAACTATAATCCTGCTTTGAAAATTATAAAATGCAGCCACAGAAATATATTTTGTCATATACAGTAGATGTTTAAATAAATATAAAAATAAATTTTAATGAATTAAAATAGCTTCTACACATTAATGAGAGGCCATTTACTTTTTTATTAAAAGAAAATATACATTTCATTTAGGATATTTCAAAGTTATTTTGTGTATCATTTAAAATTCAACTTTATAAAATACATTTTTTTACATGCATTCAATGCAGAGAAAAATATCATAATTTAACTACCAAGGGCCTTTTAAAAAGACAATATTTGCATTGCTGTAAACCAGTAATTGCTAATTAAAAATAAAATAACTGATATCGCATTAAAATGTTTTCACAACAATGTGAAGATTTAGCACCTCTCCTAAAGAATTTGTAAGTAGAACCACTGTCAATGTTTTAAGTCTGCTAAGATGCATGTTTATATATAAAATGCACAAGCATCATTTACCACGTATAAAAACTTTTTTTAAAGTTACAATTTAGCAGTTGTAAAATCTTCTAAAATTTATCTATTCAGTTCAAAAATTGAGTAGGGGCAAAGAGGTGATTGGAGGGAACTGGGTTAACAAGATAAAAGACAAAGTAATAGACAATCAAAAATGCGCTGGGGGAAGGAAGTTAGATGAGTACATAAATAAATAGAAACCAGGCCAAGATACAAATGCTACCCTTTGAATAGCACACTTAAAATATTTGTAGATTCAGAGATAAGATACTTGAACTGCTTGAATGCAACAGTAAATGTTTCAAAGAAGAGATAACACATTATAGACTAAGGATGGGTATGATTTCAGTGGGTGGGAGATGGAGGAAGAGACATTCTATGTGGAATAATGGACAAGGCCCGGTTGGTGAAAATCTAATTCTTGTTATAGAAAGGAAGACTAGTCAGCTTTGTTTGCTACTTCTAGTTGCATAAAGCAATTGCATAGTTAACCTGTGGGATTACTTAAGAATTTATAAACCACTTTATAAAGAATTAAAACATTAAGTTTCTATCAAGTTCTATATTCATAATTCAAATCCTTAGTTAATTTAGTAAAGAATAGTTCAGTTTTCAGAGATGAGGGCATTGTATTTTTTTAAAAATTTGTATTAATACACTACTCTAAATTAGAGACTTACCATGCTAACTGGTGATTTAATATTATAACAAATTAAAAACACAAATGTATTTTTATAACTAAAGAACAAATGGAAATTCTAGAGTGAATTTACAAATCAACTGTACTACATTCAGGTAAGGGCTTTTAATATTATTTACTGTAAAAATGTGGAAAAATTGGTTCTTAGAATGCATCTCTGTGCTTAACTGTATAGAAGCAAAAGTAAATTCAAAGTTTCTAAAATAAAATTATCTGTCTGATCCTACATTGATGATGATCTAAATTTAATCCCCAGAAATAACAATAAATTTGTCAATAGCTTACCATATTGCTGAATGATTTAATAGAATATTAGGCCCATAAACAACCCTTTCTTAGATGACTATTCAATCCCTTCTCACTTTTAAAAGTCAAACCCATGTTAGCATTATTATTTACTCTTTATCACTCTACTTGTTCTGGAACAAAATTCCTACTTTTCTTACCAGCCAGCTTCAAATAAAGCATTTAGCAATATATTGGTGCAAGAAATGACAACATAGATACTTCCCCAAAGTGAAATTCTAAATATTTTCCCAAAGATTGGTGAAAAGTCTGGGGGATGGAGCAATGAAAAAAATATATTAAGAAACTGAGTTAAAACATGCACTACAGTAAGCATATGAATAAAAGAGAATAAATGAGAAATTCTGGGAATCTTAACCAATATTCATATATAAGTAAAATAATATTTCTACTTACATGGGCACTGATGTACAGGAGAAGTGTCAGCTAAAGAAAAAATAAACTGTGGCATGGTTCATTTAACAGTACAATAAAATTGTTTCAATACGGTTTATCCTGTGTTCACTGGCCAGAAGCAAGGAAGTGAGAGAGGAGAGAAAGAGGGGGACTTCTAAACTAAAAACCAGGCAAAACTCAGCATAGTCTGGTACTGCAATGATTGTTAATCAAGGCAGGATGTAAAGAATCCATTCTCTTTGTTGTATATTTACTAGCGTGCTTGGGGGTAAGGGGTTGAGCTAGTACTTTTTTCAGTTTGCACACTAGGTGAAGTACAACAAAAATGATCTGAATTATAGTATAGCAGAATAGAAGTTTCTTGTCTGTGTGAGTTCCTCTCTGCATGTTCAGAGACAAAATGGCCCATAGAGCTCTATTTTACCCACACAAAGGACTCCAAGTTGCAACCCTTCAACTTTTGTAGGGAGTAAACAAACAGAACTATGACCAGGTGATTTTCTCTGTAAGCCACACCATACCTCACTCGAAGAATGACGCTGCACAGATCACTGGTTTCATCAGAAGGCTGGCACTGCAAGCTAGAGGAAGCACACACCTATCTTTTGATAACTTCAAGCTTCTTTAGAAAAATTGCTGTTGCATGCAGCACTTGGCCCTTCCTCATCTATGCCCCCATCTGATCACTGCTGGTCTTTGTACATGTCCCTCCAGCAACCCTTTCCACCTCCTGTTGTCTAGGTCTAGAAAGGTGGAAGGGGTTCAGGAAGTGACAAAGATAATGTACATTATAATTATCAATGAGATGAACCAAGATTTGAATTAATACGGTTACAACAGAGTAACTGTAATGTACTTTACAGATGTAAAAATTTCAATAATACAGCATTGAAAAAATACATTACAGCATTTTACCTGTTCATGAGTATGGTTTGAATATAATGACTGCCTAATATTAAGAATTAATTTTGTTTGTATAAATCATTTCTCATAGAAGTTATGGGAGATTATAACTTCCATCAAATTATTTCTCTTGTACAACTGCAAGCTATTTGTGCTGCATTCCTAATAAATAGTTCATCATTTGAACTTATAATAATTCGGTCACCTTGGATATCTTAAATCAAAAACAAACTTGCACATTTCTCTAGCTTTTATTAACTACTGAATATTTTAACATGATTTACATTTCTTTTCAGAATGTAATATTTAAAATAAAGTCCCCTATTAAATTAAACAAGCATGAACAACACCAAAGTAGGTCAGAAATAAGCCATTCCAATTATGTTGACCACAGCACCACGTCTCCTAGGGCTGTTTCTGAGTCCTGACTGTGGTTGGAGCTGATGCCAGTGTCCGAGTCTGTGTCATTTGTGTACACGTTAAATAGTCTTTGAGTAGAAGGAGGAGCCCCCCCACCACTGCTGGGGACCTCGGATTCCTTGCCTCTGTTTTCCTTTACCTGGCATCCATCTTTGTTGCTCATATGAAGTGCACTGAACTCCTTGGCCAGGAGCTCATACTCTTTTGCTTTCATCTGAAGCAATGAGTCACTGTATTTAATCTCTTTCTGGATGCCACTCAAGTGAGAATGGATTTTCAAACCAGCTTTCATGCTTCTCTCCAAATCACACTTAACACTTTCTAAATTTAGGCTTTCAAGTTCACTTGCAGCTGCTCTTTCTGCCTCCTCATGTATCTCAGTGCAGACACTTTTTACCTCTTTTTCTATTTCAGCAGAGAGCTTATCAATGAGCATTCTGTAATAGATCAGTTGTTCCTCCAGCTGCAGGACTCCATCGCTTTTACTCAGGTCCTCCAGAACCTGGTTTTCATCATACTGCGAGTCTAGCTTCTGCTCAGCTTCACTGAAACTGGGCATCAAATATGCATCCTGAACATAATTTTCTCCATTGTTTTCTACCCTATCAAGGTGGAACTTGGCTTCGCACTTTTCAATTTCCAGGTCCAGCTCTTTCATTCTCTTGACTTGCTGATGAATAGTATGGTCCTGGGAAATAATCAGATGAACTAAGGTCTCCATACTATCTCGATCATGGGAAACCGTGTCCTGCTTAATTTTAGCCAGTTTCCGGAAAGTTTTTCTGACTATTCTTTTTTGCTTATCTGGTGGTAATGTCTTCATGTAATTTGCTGGGCTGAGCTCCCACACTTTTTCTGTGTTTTGTACTAATTTGGCTTCAGCTGTCCTCCACAAGGGAACTGGTAGAAAAGCATCCGATTTAACCAAAACAAATTGCATATTGGGCTGCTCATCCCCCCACGCTTTCCAAAGCTTCAGGATTCTAGTTAGCGGAGGAAGAACCCGTTCTGAGCCCCTCCACTTTTCTATGATGCAGTAATCACTGGGCTTCCCCAGAAGAAATCGTTTCTCTCCAAATGTAGTCTCGTGTTCCTCAAGCAAAGCCTGGATGACATCAGCCGAGGTGGTACGTTTAGTTAAACCACAGACAATCTTCTCTTCTTGGCAAACCCAAACCACAATTTCCTTCTCTTCTGAATCCATGTCTTTAGCTGGAGCTCTGAAAGAAAAACAAAGCACATTATAGTCCTGTCATCACCTGTGTAAACTCAGAAAGACGGTTTAACTTTAATACCCGTAAGGAGAGACACATTTTGTGGTTGAGAATACATAAGAATCAGAAGTTTTATTGTAAGAAAAAAATCTTAAAGCCATTGAAAATATCTTAATTTCCTTTTCATTTCTTTGTTGCCTCGGAAAGAGCAAATTCTCATAAAAAATAACAGGCTATTTTAATTTATCTTTAGAAGTCAAGCACAATATAAATTAAACTGATAGAGTTAAGACAATTATCAAGACAATTATCAAAATGGAGGTGAATCAGAGGAGATAGAATGAGATTATTTTTACTGGAGCCTTAGGACAAGAAAAGGAGCACAGAAGCATAGGTAGAAATTGTGAAATGATACTGGAGTTAGAGAGGTGCAAACGGTCTACTTTTGAAAATTGTCATTCTTTTATTCAACAAACGTTTATTGCGTGCCAGACGTGTCTGAAGGTGCTAAAGATACTACAAAAAACAAAGTAAATGAGGGCACAGACACAAATGGGCAATTGATATGAAATCAGATAAAATGCTAGAAAAAAATATTAAATGGATAAAGGGATACTAAATGACTTGGAAGAAGAAATCTGTTTTTATTTAGAGTGTTTAAGAAAGATTTCTCTAAGAAGATGGCATTTGAATAGGAACATAAGTTATGAGGAGGCAATCAGAGGCCTAAGGGAAGAATTCCAAAAAGAGTGAACCAACGTGCAAGGGTCCTGAAGTATATTCAAGGGACAGAAAAACTGAATGTAGTTGGAGGCAGAGGATAGCGGAGTTAGAGGTTGTTGCTGGTGGGAGAGAGAGGTCAAATGATAGGTGGTGAGGTCTAGCAGAAAGGCATATCCTTGCAGGCAGTGATAAAATATTTGGATTTTGTTCCAGTTTTAATGAGAAGCCATGGGAAAGGCTTAAGTAGAAGGATATGATCGTATTTATGCTTTAACATATATACATATATATGCGTGTATATATATGCATGATGCTGTTATTGTTTTCTCCTTAGAGTAGTTCCTATGTCCTGTTCCACTTTCTGGCTGGGAAACATCAGTCCTGTGTCTGCAGCTAAGGATGGTACATGACAAATAAACTCTTCACCCCTATACCCTATCTATAAAGAAGACTGAGAGGCAGAGATCAAGGGATTCTTTAGAAAAGCAGAATAATAATAACCATTTACATGACAGCTCTCCAATACTTTCATGACCCCTACCCCAGCTGAAATTTGTCCTGTTTGGAAAGTTCAAGTTCTTGTATATTATGATTTTCCCTGGAGTTCCGCTAGTTTTCAGGTCATGTGGATAAGGTAACATTAATGGTTATTATTCACAATCAAAAAAAAATTTATTTCCATATAACAAATGAGAAAGTTAGTGCCTTTATTAATAACGTAACAATCTGGTTCCAAACTTTTTTTTTTTTTAAATCTGCCCTAAACCTCCTTGTATTTTCTTGAGTCAGTTATTTTTAAATATTTTGTGGAATTTTTACAACCATCATTCCAACCAGAGAATTTTAAAAAATTATGCCACTTGACTGAACATGTTTAAAAGTAATGACTGTTTATAACTGAATTTAAGCAATAAATCTTTCATACCTAGTATAAGCTCCATCATTTTTAAATTCTGTTTTGTTAGCAAGCTTAGGAATTTGAAAACTAAATTTATTTTATTTTATTTTATTTTTTATATATCTTTATTGATTTCAGAGAGAGGAAAGGAGAGGGAGAGAGAGACAGAAACATCAATGATGAGAGTCATTGATCGAGCCCGGAACTCGGGCATCTGCCCTGACTGGGAATCGAACCCTGATCGCCTGGATCCTAGGTTGACGGTCAACCGCTGAGCTACACCCAGTTATAGTACGGCTCTGATTGACTTTCTATTCATTCATTTAACAAATATTTGCTAAACACTTCCCGTGGATTGTATAAAGATGTACTATTTATAAGACATTGTCTCTGGCCTATTATGGGAAAGAGTGCTAGAGTTGGACGGGAGCACTTTAGTGTCAATACTAGTGCTAAGTTTCTTATTCCATCATTGCTTCCCAGAAGCTAGACTGCGGACCTTCAGCACATTCAAATAAAAAAATATAGAAAGGATGCGAAAAAAATTCAACAAAATTAAACCTCTTTAGCAATCTTAATCACTATTTTTCAGAAATAATTGTTTTTATTTGTTCACAGATCCATGCAAACCTAGTCATCTGATATAAATAAAGAATTTAACGCTAGAACTGGGACTAAAAAACAATGTTTTCTTCCAAACCTTACAATCTAGTATAAATAATTACATCTACAAACACACACAACAAAGGTTAAAAATACAAACTTAGACTAGATAAATTGGTTTGTCATGTAATATAATGTAACAAACAGTTCTTACCTAATGTTCAGCTCTAGTAGTTGAGACATATAACTTCCAATTATAATGCAACAAAATAAAAACAAAGAGTGTCTAAGAATGTTGCATGCCTAAGAATGTTGTTTTTGCTTTGCTTTGCTTTACTGTATGTTTGTTGGGCGTAAGTGATAAAAATTTTACTGGATCTTAAACTTTCCAGAAAATATACTATAACCACATAAAAACTGAAAAATCTTAGAGCTTTAATTTATAAAGTTTTATATCGCAATAATTCTCTTCTATTTTTAATTTTATCCTACTGTTTTAGTTTCATTTATAATCATTGTTAATCTGATTAAAGTTATTAATCCTTTTTCTTTTTAGATCCTCATACTCTTCCCTTGCTCACTTGATGCTACTTAATAGCGCAATTAATTTTTTTTCTATACATTGAAAATGTTTGCTGACATTTACAATTTCCAATTCAACAAAGTTACTTTTTATTTTAGATCTTTCTTGGTTTACAGCATCCTTTGATTTTAAGAACTCATGTATGTGGTAGTTACTAATATCATCTCCATTTTACAGATGAGGGAACTGAAACAAACAGAGGGTAACAGGCCTAAAATCACAAAGCTAGAAAACAGAAATGTTCCTTCCAATCAGATGTTAATTAGATGTTAATAGTTTATTTTTAGGACTAATCCCTAAAAATAAATTACAACAGCGATTATGACTATCCACTTACAAATAGTTCCCAATTTATGAACTGCTTTTATTTCAGAAGTTATTTTTAAATTAACTCCTTGTGAAACTCAATGCGTTTTCTCATAAAATTAAGGTCCTACTTGGTTTAATCAATCAAGTTTGAATGTTTTAGGTACAGTATAAAATTGCCCTCCTCAACTTTCATTTAAACATCCAGTATAAAGGGAAGTCAGAGTGACTCTTGTGTATCTGACTCCACAATATTTAGGCAGTAGGGACAAAGAGAAGGACAGCAGATGGTCGGGTTACTGTGGGTGGTGGTTGCAGGAGTGGTTCTCTCTAGATACTCTGGAAGTGGATAACTAACAGGGGGACTTCCTGATGGGATCTACAAATACCATAGCTATTTTTAGGTATAGATTAATTATAATTTAACTGGCTATAAAAGGAGAATTGCTTAGATTATAGGATTGATAATTTGCGTGCTACATTATAGAGTAAAAGTACTAAAATTGTAGACTAATAAAAATAAAGTAACTGGTGTACTCACATTTAATTCACAACAGTTTAAATTTGGAATCAGGCTAATTTGATAAATGTTCCCTCATACAATTTGAAAGTAGATATGAAATTTCATAAGCAAGAATTTAGTCAGATTACGGCTTCAAAGTATAGTACTTAGCATTCCTAATATCTTATTATCAATGAAATTTCTTGCATAAATTATATGGCCAGGAAGATTTAAATTGGTTATCTACATCACAAGCATATTTACTTTAAGGTGTTCACTTTAGGGAGGTAAAACAATGAATAAATAAAAACATTTTAAAATGCCTTATATAAATAGGGTATCTCAAATTTTGCTTCTGAGTAATACACAGAAATCAATAAAACAAGAAATTTTACAGTGAAATATGTGTTGGAAAGTGAGTTATAATTATGTATTGACTTGATTTGAACTAGTTTGTCTATTTCAAGAATGGTTCATAAGAAAAGAAAAAATGTTCTTAATATGCTCAAACTATTACTCCTATCAATACATAACTGTTTTACACAATCATCTTTTACTGTTTGACTCATTGGAAACTGTATTAAAAGTAATTTGAAACATTAATACATTTTACTATACATTCTAAGTGTGTATTATACTACATCTATAATCACATAGCATATATTTATGACATTTCTCATGCACATACTTTTAAAAATTACATATGTATTTTAATGCTTTATTAAATTTGATAATTTTGAATATATTCTAAGGTTCTCATGAAAATATTGTTTTGTTGCTTAGCACACTGCCGTTTAATTTATTTTAAAAAGTTTATAATCACTAAATGTTTGAAAATTATTTATATATACAGAAAAAAATTAAAAAAAACATTCATAATGCTCAGTATCCATTTTTATCAAATGCTTTAACTCCTTTTTCCCTTTGAAACATTAATAAGATTCTTTTGTGAAGATTTGCAAAAGAGTACAGTGGGAACAAATGGACTGAAAATTTAAATTTATGACATCATTTTTATCATTAATAGTGATTTTGAATTCTGATAAATCATTTTTTCTAACTCTCTGTACCCTTCACTGTAATACTGCAATGTACATATCTGACTAACATTTCTCACAAGGTTGCTGCAAGTATCAAATAAGGGAAAAAATAAAAGTGCTTTGAAAATTATAAAACACAGCCTGGGTAAATATAGGTTACTAACAATAATAATAAAATTAATATTATTATTTAATGCAGAGCAGGGTGTAGTGTTTTTAGCATTGTTATTCTATAACTTTATTGAACTTTCTATAATAGTTAATAATATTATTTTACAAATATTTTCCAACCTCTCTCACAATATTTTTTCACCTGTTTCAACTAGTCAATATTTTTGCAAGTACATTTCC